GATCTTACCCTGACCAAATTTTTTTTGCCTCCCCAAATAAAAAAGTTCTTAAAGGGAAACATTTTGTTGATGTGAAAAAGGTGAAACAAAAAAGGACAGAATAGTAACAGGCATCAAAATTGATGAGTCCAAAAACTGTTTTGAGGCCAGGCTCAGTGGTTTGGCCTGTAATCCTGCGCTTTGGGAGGCCGAGGTGAGTGGATTACCTGAGCCCGCGGGTTCGAGACCCACCTGGGCAACTTGGTGAGACCTCATCTCTACAATAAATCAAAAAATTAGCTGGGCGTGGTTGCGCACACCTGTAGTTCCAGCTACTTGGAAGGCTGAGGCGGAAGGATCGCCGGAGCCCAGCAGGTCCAGGCTACAGTGGCCGGGAGCAGCCGCTGCACTCCAGTCTCGATGACAGAGTGAGACTCCAACTCAAAAAAAAAAAGAAAAAAAAACTGTTTTGAGCAGTGGAAAAAGTGTCTCAACAGGTGTATTGTATCAAACGAAGAGTACTCTGAAGGTAACTAAAGTTTAAACATGTAAGAATATATATTTTTTTTAAATAAATTGTTTTTTGAAGTTCTCCCCTTGGACATTTTTAACCTAACATTATCTCATGTAGTTTGAAAACCATCTCAAAGAAAATCCCACAGGAGGAATTTCAAGTTACCACATTCAGTGTTAGCACTAAGAGAATAAGTCATGGTGGTTAACCCACACAAACCTGCATATATACATCTTAATTCACCGGCTAAAATGCTAGGCGCTTTATTTTGTACCAAAACTTCGCACAAATGTTTACAAGATCACATGATCAGATAACAAGATTTTTCTCCATGTTTGTTTTCCTGGGTTTAACATGAAATTTACCTTAGTTGTATGTTTTATTTTGCTTGTTTTAGTTATAACTGACTCCCTAGAAAACTGCTGAGGAGGGCTTGGAAATGCCCCTCTACATGACATTAAAGAACCTGAGAAACACCAGAATGAATTAGGACTCACCTGAAAAGCACAAATACAAGGTGATCTCCAGGCTATCAGATAAAATAAACAAACAAGTAGAATTGGAATCAAGAAAATGTGAGAGAGTACTGGGCATTTAAAACCACATTAATAAGGAGTTTATTCATAAAAATCAATGCCTTAAATAATCTTGAGCGGGGCACATTTTGATGTGCCATCTGTATGTAGATTCTGCTCTCCTTAGAAATAAACAGAAGTATCATGTCAGAACATTCACAGTATTTTAATTTCTTGTATGTTCAAGTATCTCATGACTCGAGCCTTCACATTTCTCACAAAGAATTACTCTCCTCATGGATATCCTCCCAGAGATGTCTGGAACAAAGAAACTTTCCAAGAAATGTCTGGAGATTTGCCCTCACTGTCCAACTCTCCTGATACAGGACAGCAGTGAATGCATAGAAAAGACAAAGGGCTAATATTCTATTGTCTCTCAAACATTCCTTTAACAAAAAATAAAACCAGTGAAAAACTAATAGGCTTGCAAAAAAGTCTGTAAAGACATTTGTTTTTCCCTGTTATTGTTTGTTTCCACCTCCTGCTCCTTTTTTTTTTTTTTTTTTTTTTAATGCCAAGACACTTTCCAGTGTAAACCAAGGAGATATCTGTGACCAAAGGTTTTTATAAGTTCATGGAGTAAATACAAAGGTGGATCAAATTCCAATATGGTTCTTTGCATGACAAGTAAGTGATGATCTGGTCACATAAAGTTTTCTCACACCAATGATAATTATGTGGTAACTTTTCATTATGGATTATTGGACGGTGAGATTTTTCTACTGGTCAAAAACTGTCCTTAGTAGTTATATTTGGAATATTTTTCTCCAGCATGAATTCCTTGATACTGACAGAGGTGGAATGTCTTGTGCACTTCTCTCTGTATGAATCCTTCTGCAATGAGTGAAGGCTGAGCAGTTGCTGAAGGTATCCTAACCTTCACTATATTTACAAACACTTCTCTCCAAAATGTCTGGTCGTGTGTTAAGAACCGACAAAAGAAAGCTTCCCAATATTCTTTGCATTCAGAGGGTTTTTTCCTCCAGCATAAGTCCCATTATAAATGCTAGAAGAGGAGCTGTTGGTGAAGGGTTTTCTACATTTACTGCACCAGTAGGGTATCTCTCACATATGGACCCGCTGGTGCTGCAGGAGGTGTGATCTGCGTTTAAAGGCCTTCCCACATTCAATGCATTTGTAGGGCATCTCCCCAGTGTGGATGACAGAGTGCTGAATGAGGTACGTACTCCGGTGAAAGGCTTTCCCACACTGAGTGCATTCATAGGGCTTCTCCCCAGTGTGAATCCGCTGGTGCTGCATGAGTTCTGAGCTGCATCTGAAGGCCTTTCCACATTCCATGCAATCATAGGGCTTCTCTCCAGTGTGGATGATGTAGTGTTGAATTAGGTGTGCCCTATTGCTAAAGGCTTTCTCACATTCTTTGCACTCAAAAGGTTTTTCTCCAGTGTGGGTCCTGTTATGGCGAATAAAAGTAGAGCGGTGGGTGAAGGCCTTTCGACACTGATTACACTCATAGGGCTTCTCTCCAGTGTGGATTGGATGGTGCTGCATGAGGTATGACCTGCGTTTGAAGGTCTTCCCACACTCAAGGCACTTGTATGGTTTCTCCCCAGTGTGGATAAGGTAGTGCCGAATAAGGGTTGAGCTCTGGCTAAAGGCTTTTCCACATGCATTGCATTCATAGGGCTTCATTCCAGTGTGAACCCGCTGATGTCGAACAAGATACCACTTCCTGTTAAAACCTTTCCCACACTGCTTGCATTTGTAGAGGTTTGTCCCTGCATGAATCAAGGTGTCTTTCCCTGGTTGCTGTGAGTCACGTTCATGAAGAACATCTGAAGATACTCGTTCCTGTAACACCCCGGAGTGCAGACTATCATTTATCCCCAAACCTTCATCTTCAAGGTTCACTTTCCCAGGATGGGTATCCTTGTGAGTATCTGTATCTAGCTTCACTTGACCTTTCTGCATTTCCAAAAGTCCATCCTGGTCCCTAGACTTCCCCAATCTGGAGTCCCTTAAAGATCTCGGGGTCAGGCTTCCCTGGAGAAAGGCTCTCTCAGATAAGACTGGCAAACAAGTGGTTGGCTCTCTACTCTGAAGTTGTGCTCTATCACCTGGAGGGAATCAGACACACAAAGGAGGGGACTTTCAGTGATGCAATGTAGAAGAAACAAGATAAACGCTTAAGTGGAAAAATGAGGATGAAAGTAGTCCCTCTACTACTGTGTCTTTCTTTTTTTTTTTTTAGTTGGAGTTTCACTCTGTTGCCCAGGCTGAGTATGTACGGTGGCACACTCATGGCCACTGCAGCCTTGACCTGCTGGACTCAGGCAATCCTTCTGCTTCAGCCTTCCAAGTAGCTGGAACCATAGACACATGCCACCATGTCCAGCTAACTTTTTTGATGTAGAGATGAGGTCTCGCCAAGTTGCCCAGGCTGGTCTTGAACCCATGGGCTCAGGCAATCCTCACACCTCAACTATCTAAAGTGCTGGGATTATAGGTGTGAGCCACTGCACCCGGCCTTAATACTGTGTCTTTACATCTCTATAACCCAGGTTTCCAAATACTTCTCATGGTCCTTGTATCCTTGATATCATTAAAGGGAAAATCTGGAGGGCAGCCTGGACCACAGGACAAAAGATCTGGAGAGGAGATGCCACCCTTCATAGTCCAGAGCAGGGAAGAAAGGATACAGTTTTGATGACATCGTCTAAAGGGCATTTGTTCCAAAAATTGAAGTCTCTTGGTACTATGACAGTATAGAGAAGTAACACCTAACAAGATTGGGAAGAAAAAAAATCATGAAGAGATTCATAGAGGATAGAGGGTGTGTCCTATGAGCTGAGTCTTGTTGGAGAAGCCAGAGTCATTACCAGAGAGAAATGGGTAATGGGCTGAAGAACAAATGGGTAGATTTACCCTTGAAGAGTACTTAAGAGCTAAAAGAAGAAAGGGCATCAGATGCCTGGTTAAGCCAATATGGAAGAAATGATTAGAGTTAGAAGGGAAAAAAAGATCAGAACAAAAGAGATAGAGGGAAATACAGGAACAAATGTTACAAAAGGTCAAGCATGCTAAGATTTAACAATTTAGTTTCTTCTGTGTCAGAAGGCACAGAGCATGGCAGTCAAGAGTGAGGGCATTAGAGACAGGATGAATCAGTTCAAATCCTGCCTCTGTCAAGTGAGCTAATACTAGAGGAGGACTTTCTCTACTAAGTCTCAAATTCTTCAACTAAGAGACTAGGAAACTCAGTGTCTCAGCCTGTCATGAGGGTTAAATGAGAAAATGCACAATTCTTGATGCAGCATAAGTGTTCGTTAAGTTGTGGGTCATTATCCTTATTATTATCATCCTCATTGTTACATTGGGCAAGTAGGAAGACAGTAATAACATCAGCAAGAACAATTTCAGTGCTGTGGTCTGCGGAATCTAACTACTGTGCCTCCCAGAGTAAAGTGGACAGTATCACATGCTTAGAAGAAACTGATGCAATGGAACTCTCATACCTGGCAGGAAAGAATGGGAAATAATACAGCTACTTTAAAAAAATATTTGGCAGTCTGACTTAAAGCTAAAGAGAAGACACAGAAGCTAAGTATAAGACAGATGTAGATGAATCTTCAAGAATCTAGGAACAAGAAAACTAAGTACATAGCCTTTGTTTTTAACATGAAGTTAATTATATGCTGAGACATCGACTGCTGGGGAAGTGGCGAAGACTAGAACACATCTGAGTGGCTGCAGGATCTGGTGCAGGAAAAGACCTGCCCAAAGGCACAGAGATTTTGGGAGACCTGTTAGGAGTCTCTGGTATGGACAAAGGGTGATAAGAGCCTGGACTAGGGTGTTAGTGATGGAGCTAATGAAACTGGAGGTGATATATTCAGGCAACATGGATTATGTAAAATGAACAGGACTAAGGATGAATGGATGCTGGCTTTCATGAAGTTAGAGGAGTCCAGGAACTGTCTGGATATTTCCAGCCTTCTAATCTGCTTTGATGGCAGGATATTCTCTGAACTGAGTGTCTTCTTAGGCATCAGGAGCTGGAGGTGCCTTTGAAACTACAGTGGAGATGTTAGGGTGGAAGGGATGGGGAAGGAGGTGTTTGGAACACACAGAATTGGAAGTGGGGCTGGTCAAGAAGACTGACGGGAGAGCCCACAACTCAGCAGTGATGCCAATCCACAAGGCAGATAGCTCCAGATACACTCATCAGCACAGATGTGGGGCAGAAAAGGACAAATGTCACGATGGTATCTTTCAGGGCAAGAGGGGCAGGAAGATATGGCACAAAGGTGTCTGATGGTCAAATAGGAGGATGGATGAATGGATGGAGAAGGTAGGAGAGCATGGCATCCCTAGTAGAGTGCTGACAGTAACATCAAGGAGAGGAAAGGTCCCTTTTTCTGAGTCCAGAAGGAAAATTACAGGAATACTACTAACAGTCGACTTTTGTTGATACTGTGAGCCAGGCACTGAACTAAGCAGCATCATGCATTATCTCATTATGTCCCCAAACAACTCAATGACACATAAATTGTTACCACTCTGATTTTTTTGGAATATGGCAGCCTGAAGGTGACATAAAACAGACACGTTTGCCTTCTTCTTGGGCACACAAACAAACTGCATTCCTCAGTCCTGAGCACCCCGATGTGGCCAAATGCCTAGTTCTTGCCAAAACTATGTGGTCATGAAGTATGCGTGCAACTGGGTAAGACTTTTCCTCTTCCTCTTGTTTTCATTCTGTGGACTGGATTATATCAGAGTGATCTTAAAGCTTCCTGTTCCTGTTTGAAGGCAACTGTGGCTCTGAATATCTGTGTAGCTGAGTGCTCTCCGGCTGATGTGCACTATCCCTTGATGTGAGTTAGAAATAACGAGACCCCAAAGAGGTCATAACAAACAGTTTTACATAGAAATTCAGGGTCAGTGGTCCCCTCACATTCTAAAGGTTGCTATGACCCCACCTGACCAGTTGGTGGCTGCCTACCTGCACAGGTGCTATGTGAGAGACCTCTCTTCACTGTCCACAGCTCCTGCCCATGCTCCAGCAGGTGGATCAACTCTGGTTTAGGAACTCGATGTCCTATTGATAGCAAAAGAAAAAGAAATAGGACAGGAATAATTTTGTGAAAAGAATGAAATCTTTCCATCTTGCCTGGGACTTCATGACAGAGGTCAGAGCATGAATGAAGCTGTTCCCAAAGTAAGTAACATACTGATTGGAGCCCTGAAAACTAAGGGTATTGCTATGGAATGAATTGTGTTCCCCTCAAAAGTAATATGTTAAAGCCTCAATTGAAGCCACTGTGACTACATGTAGAGATAGGGTCTTTAATAGGTAATTAAAATTAAATGAGATCATAAGAGTGGAGTCCTAATCGAATAGGACTGTGACCTTATAAAAACAGAAAGAGAAAGAGATCTCTCCTCTCTCTGTCTCTTGACCATGTAAGGACACAGGAAAGGCTGCTATCTGCAAACCAGAAAGAAGGGCCTTACCAGGAACCAAATCAGGCAGTACCTTAATCTTGGACTTCCCAGCCTCCAGAACTGTGAGAGTATAAATTCTTATTTAAGCCACCAGTCTATGGTATTTTGTTATGGCAGCCAAGAAGATGAAGACAGGTACAAATCCCATTCCTGGACTGCAACTGCTATAGAGGAGATGCTATCTGTCTGTACAATACTCATGGCCCTTGACCTCCATCTGTGGAAACCAATACTGTCCAGGCGTACATCACTTTCACAGTCATGGGACACTGCAAAGGTAAGTCCCTCCCTCCCAAAGCCATTTTCTAGCAAATCTACATCACTGGTTCTCAAACACCTCATTCTTCAGAACCACTTGGGATGTCTGATTCCAGTTTCAAACTAAGTAAAACAAAATTTCTTGCAGTGAGGTCTGGGCATCAATACTTCTGAAATGTCCCCCAGGGGATTCTGGTGCCCAGAAAAGGTTGAAAACCACTGGTTGAAATAAACTGGTGAATGACATCCCTGATCATCAGGAGTCTGAGGTAGGCAGGTGACCTAAGCTGGGTTCTCATGTAAAGAGAAAGCCTTTATTCTGGGGGTTGAACACAGGGGCCTGCTGCCCCAGTCACTGCTGCAGCACCCTGCATCCCTATGAGGGTCCACTTGAGCACAAGACAGAAGCCTAAACCAGGGAGAAGAAGCAGAGAACCTTGACATCCATGATAACATCACTCAGCTGCTGTATCCAACTAGCCTGAAGCCAGCCACACCTCAGGGCTTCTTATTAAGCAAGGCAGTGAATTTTCTCCCAGGTGAAGTCAGTTTGATCTGGTTTTCTGTTATATGTAGCCAAATACATTTCACTAGATGTGGGGAGTAAAAAACAGGAGGGTTTTATATAGAAAACCAATGACTGAGGCACGAGGATCCACAGAAATATCCACTGGCAGATTCTGATCAACAGCCCAGGATTCCTTCATACATGTCTCAGTTACATTTACCAACGTTTGCCACAAGCCTGGCTCTGGGGTCTGGGACAGGGCTACAGGAAAGGTGAATTAGATGTTTCTTCAGCTCTGCCAGGATTTTTTTTTTTTTTTTGAGTTGGAGTCTCACTCTGTCACCC